AAACACACATACCAGACAAGTAAGCTTTCATATACCTGATAAAACGACAGAATTTATATCAAAACACACATACCAGACAAGTAAGCTTTCATATACCTGATTAACGACAGAATTTATATCAAAACACATATATATCAGACAAGTAAGCTTTCATATACCTGAAAACGACAGAATTTATATCAAAACACATATATCAGACAAGTAAGCTTTCATATAGACATATACCTGATAAAATGACAGAATTTATATCAAAACACACATACCAGACATGTAAGCTTTCATATACCTGATAAAGCGACAGAATTTATATCAAAACACACATACCAGACATGTAAGCTTTCATATACCTGATAAAGCGACAGAATTTATATCAAAACACACATACCAGACAAGTTAGCTATTTATTATTACACACATGTTGAGGTCTTGGTTGTCAAAATAGCTGAATACTCTGCACTATCAATGCTTATGGTATTTATTTAACATTACACCTCTGGTCATACACCTGATGGTGCAACAAAATAGTAACCAAGCTTTTAGGCCTGGGGATCCAGGGGCTGCTGTCGTTTTCGCTTTCTTAGAGCTTGTGGAACTTTCTATTTCACAGACCTGCATGTATTAATAACCTATCAAAAAAACAACTCGGCATTTATTTGCAGTGCAAAATAACAAATGAGCAAACAACTGGAAAGGAATCCCAACTACATGGAATCCCAACTACATGGAATCCCAACTATTGAGAATCCCAACTACATGGAATCCCAACTACATGGAATCTCAACTACATGGAATCCCAACTATTGAGAATCCCAACTACATGGAATCCCAACTACATGGAATCCCAACTATTGGGAATCCCAACTACATGGAATCGGATTCTGATATGTGATGGCCCTGATTATGTTTACGCAATCAGTGTCAGCCACAATACACACGTGAGCTCGAGTAGACGGATTGTTTTCTGCGACAAAGATACAGAGTTTCACCATTTTTAAAAACTTAGTAGTCAATTTAGTAGCCACATCAAATTTTTAGTAGCCAATAAAAAATAAAAGTAGCCAATGGCTACTTTGGCTACCGACAGCATGAGCCCTGGAATCCCAACTAGTCTTTAACAGAAGAAATCCAAAAGTGATTTCAAATGACTCAACCGAAAGACCCAAATAAGCTAAAACAAATTACCCATGGTGACCTGCATGAAAAAATGCTTTGCTACTTATTTCCAGAATGTTCTTTGAATGTCAAATTAATTGTCCAAACATTTTTTTTTTCAAAATTGTTCATTGTTTTATTGATTTTACAATATGTCAAAATTCATAATTTAATAAATTCATTTTATTTTATTCATTTAGTTGTAACATAATCTCTAATCTTTTTGTAGTCTTATACATGTATTGATTTTGTTTGATGGTTAATTATTTTTATTCAAATTCCATTTCCATGTTAAACAGAAGGAAGCCAGAATATCACTGCAAACAAGATTCAAGTGTCATTGCAAGCAGCGTTTACCAATATAACAACCTGGGACGACATAACAACCAGGGACGACATAACAACCAGGGGCGACATAACAAGCAGGGACGACATAACAACCAGGGACGACATAACAACCAGGGACGACATAACAACCAGGGACGACATAACAACCAGGGACGACATAACAACCAGGGACGACATAACAACCAGGGACGACATAACAACCAGGGACGACATAACAACCAGGGACGACATAACAACCAGGGACGACATAACAACCAGGGGCGACATAACAACCAGGGACGACATAACAACCAGGGACGACATAACAACCAGGGACGACATAACAACCAGGGACGACATAACAACCAGGGGCGACATAACAACCAGGGACGACATAACAACCAGGGGCGACATAACAACCAGGGACGACATAACAACCGGGGACGACATAACAAGCAGGGACGACATAACAACCGGGGACGACATAACAACCAGGGACGACATAACAACCAGGGACGACATAACAAGCAGGGACGACATAACAAGCAGGGACGACATAACAACCAGGGGCGACACAACAACCAGGGACGACATAACAACCAGGGGCGACATAACAACCAGGGACGTGAACAAACATCCAAAGCATGCCAAATAGACCTTAGAAATCCACTTGCCCTATAAAAAGCATACCATAATTGATTTTTTCTCTTCGAAAAATAGGACTTAATTTTAATGAAATATATTAGGAGTTGTTTTTCTCATTTATTTCAAATATCATAATATTATTATTTAGTATCAAATTGCAGTGATGGATTTATTTATCTTACTGATCTTACGTACTGTGTCAGCAATCTGACTGAATCCATGTCTTTAATTCCACTGCAATATGTTCCAGAGTATCAGATTGGAAGTAAAGATCTTATCACAATCAGACTGCAGTGTCAGTTGTCTATTTGTACACTCCTTAGAAAATTAGAATGTACCCTTTGCATTTTTGCATTGGAAAAAAATTGGCAGGGGGATTAAGTTGCCTCATTAGTAACAATACTCACATACTTTGACAGACTATATATATAGCTACACAGGACACAAAACATCTTCCAGCTATGGGCTTAATTTGAGGAGGATAAAGTGAATCGAGCAAAATTGCACATTGCACAAATGTCTCAAAATCCTTGTGTATTGTCAAGCAGATCTCATATTCACAAGAATGTCACTATTTATTTCGCTTTTCTTCTTTCCGTTATGGAGTTGACTCATCAGATGATTGTCACTTCTCCAGGCTCTCCGCCGCTTATTGGCCATACAGCTAAACAAAATAATATTTACATCTGTCTGTATGTGCATCTAAAATCTGGTATTTGCAGAGTCCTGTCTAGTGTCTGGGGATGAGTCCGGCCACATCAATGGTCTGTATGTGGTGCAGGAAACCGTCTACTGTTGGTAATCCTCTGATATCTGATGGTATTGAGTTCCACATCTTGATCGTAGCAGGGACGAATGAATGTTTATATGCGTCGACTCTGGTGCTTATTTGCCTGATGTTGTTGGCTTGGGAACTCCTAGTCCCCCTGCTGGTCTGTTGTAGGAGATGATGGACGGGGACCTCTACTAGGTTGTTGACTTGGGAACTCCTAGTCCCCCTGCTGGTCTGTTGTAGGAGATGATGGAGGGGGACCTCTACTAGGTTGTTGATGGTTTTGTAGAACATGATGATCCTATTTCTCACTCTTCTCTGTTCTAGTGGTTCCCAGTTTAGTTGCTTACATGTAAGCATGGTAGTAACGCAACCAGGGTCTCGGGAGTAGTAATTCCCTGTCGCAAATCGTGCTGCCTGTCTTTGTACGTTTTCGATTTGTTGCATTTGATGGTAATGGTATGGTGTCCAGACTATAGATGCATATTCCAAAACTCGCCTGACTAAGGTGGTGTATGCATGAGACTGTACTGCTTGTGGACAGTTCCTGAGGTTATACGTCTCAAGAATCCTACTGTTCTTGAGGCCTTGGCTGTTGTCTGATCAATGTGAACCCACCACGATAGGTCTGAATTGGCTTATGTATACTCCAAGGTACTTTCCACCTGGAACTGTCTAAAGGGTGTGGCCATGAAGTTGGTACTTTGTGTCAACTATTTTCCTTTTCTTCGTGATGTGGATGGCAGTACATTATTCTGGATGGAATGCCATTTGCCAGTCTTTTTCCCACTTTTCCAAAGCATTCAAGCTTAGTCTTCTTGTAGGATCTTACTATCGTCAGATGTTTCTATGTTCCTGTATATCAAGCAGTCATCTGCAAACAGTTTGACACTTCTAGGAACTCACAAGTTCAGGCAGGTCGTTGATGAAAGTCAGGAAAAGTAGGGGTCCTATGACCGTTCCCTGTGGAACTCCCGAATCCACGTCTCCCTCGGTTGACTTAGCTCCTTCTACAGATATGTGCTGCTTTCTACTGCTAAGGAAGTTTCCAATCCAGCTTAGGGTTGAACCGCGGATTCCAAAGTAGTGGAGTTTGTGAAGTAGACGTTGATGCGGTACCTTGTCAAAGGATTTCGCAAAGTCAAGTGGTATGACATCCATCTGACCTGTTGTCCATTGGAGAGTCCTTTTGCATGGTCTTGGATGGTCTTAGCTTTTAGTGCTAATGTTGTTTGCAATATGCTACTTTTACTTTTTAATTTAGTGCCTGTAATATGATTAAAGTTTCATTTTCGTAGTGCTTATGTAGGCGAGACGGGTTAGTGACTAGATATATCGAGTAGCTAGTTTTAAGTATAAATGACATTAGGATAGCTATAATACGGGTGTTTGTTATAAATACCAGCTGTAGAGTTGATAAGAGCAGATTATATGATAACTTGAGCTGTTATAGGGTAGATATAGCACTTCTGTCGTTTTGTTAGGTCGTATTTTCGCTCGTAGGCAGCCATATTGGAACATGCTGTAGTGATGTAAATTTATAGTACGCGTATTTTCATTGGCTGGGTTCAGAGTGAGGAGCCAATGAGATCTGTCCGTGGGATATATAAGCCGGTGTTTTCACGTACTCGGGGCAGACAGAGCTGGACAGCTTGCCTGACAAAAACCATGTCCAGGTAAGGATGGGTTAACTGCCACGTTTGTAATTAGGGTCGGATGACCTGAGAGACCCGGTATAGGTCCATGGGTAGAGTTACCACATGTTAGGTTGAGCATGCCGCACGGGCATTAGCAGTGCTTCATGGCTTGAAAGCCAGGGTGTAGAACAGCTGATTTGTGTATATATATATAATGTAGGGTTAGTGTGGAGAAACACAACAATGAAACTGACACAGAACAGAGGACAGTTCATATATTTCTCCCTGTTAAGTCTGTAATAGACCGTTTAGCATTAGAGATGGAGGTCTCACAATGCCTAGTTGGTAGTTTTATTGGCTTTAGGGGAAATATAGGAACTTGGCTTGGAAGTGTATAGAAGTTAGGATGTAACTATTAGTTTGGCTATTAATGTAAAGGGTGGGTATAAATAGGTTGTGATACAGGAGTTATGATATTTATCTAGAAAGGTTATCAGGTTTACCCTTACAAAACCATTCCATTATGATGTACACTTATTTTTTTTGATATTCCTTATTGTCCATATTCTACAATGGCAACAACATTTACAATGGTTATTATTGTTAACACTGTTGATATTTGATATTGTTATTAAATACTGGAACTGTTATTTCTGACTCTGGTTTTCATTTCTCTAATCTCCCGCCTGATGGGTAAAGAACACGGTGGAAGAGGGATAATGAGGAATAGGTGTCTGGCATATGAGATCACAGAATTAAACACAACGCGAAGTACATTATCATACCCACTATATCCGGGATTGACACCTATTCGACAAAAATCCCCCTTCTACTACACTTACACACATAGTGTGTATGTGCTAAGTGTCTTCTTTCAGTAACTATTACTTAGTGTCACATGTTTTATGTAGAACAGTGTTTTATGATTTTAGGTTTTCTGTTATTTTAGTTCTTGTATGTAATGTTCTTATCTTGAGGTGGGTTTTTTTACGTTCCATTTACTTTGTTTGTCAAAATACAAGCTCCTAAGTGCTTATGTTCTTGTTAACCATATTCGACACTAAATAAAGATTCTTGTATAAGACATGTACATGTACAGAAATATAAAACACAGAAACATGTAACAAGAAAATATTAATGCATGCGACAGTTCCCCATTAAAGCACAGGTAAGAGGCAGGCCACATCTACCCGACTATTACAGAGAATATATACACAAACAGAAGTATTTGGTCACTCAATGAGTGCATTCCCTTTAAATCTCGCTGTCAGACATGCACCAGTGCACATAGTCCAGTCGCACCTGAAAAATCAATACTCACTTACAATGTAGGCTTAACAGAACTATGGAAACATACAAACACTGAACAACATATACAAATATAGGATATAGCACGATACAAATCTTTATAAGAATCTGCTTCTTTTTACCTTAGTGACAGTCCGATTAGTGACGGTATCTGACTCAGGCGAGGTTTGGTGAACGGGGTACATTTCGTCTTGCATTCATAATCAAGTTTCACTCGCCATCCGTAATCAGGCACGCCCGGAATATTTTCCTTGGGTGTCGTTTCACTGTCGTCTGGATTTCTTGGATAAGATGTCATGTTCTTCCTTCCAGTGTCGCATCCGCTCTGTGACAACTTATTTAACCACGTGTCAACAACAAATATTTTTTGGTTTTCACTTTTCAATACGCCGGAAAGGAAAACTCACGTAGGTCGTTTCAATGTTTTAAATTATGAATCTAAATCCCAAATCGAACTCCGGAAACGGATAAATTATATTACGTGAGAAAATAAAATTAAGGTTAAATCTTCCATAGAAGTCATTAAATAATAATCATAAAATATTTTCGAAAAAGATGTTTTTAAACTTTTGTTAATTGACTTAAAAATAAATTTCAAGTAAGTAATATTAAAAACATACACCCTGTATTCCGGATATTTATGTTATCTGCGACCGTTTGAAAGAACAGTTTGTTTCGTTTCAAGCGTGTAACCGAGTAACAGGTGCTTGATTTTCAAAAGCGACTGTCGCATTACATTGAAGTGCGAATACCATGATATATTTCAGTAGCAGGTACGCTGAGTGATGATATAACATGAAGTAGATGTGCCCTAATATAAAAGAACATGCATACAAAGCAGGCCTAAACTTGAATACTGCTCTTCCATTTGGGATCCACACAACACAAACCAAATTAAACAAATAGAAAAAACACAACGAAGAGCAGCACCCTACGTACAAAACAGATACCACAACACTAGTTCCGTAACAGACATGATCCACACACTTCAATGACCAACACTACAAACACGACGCTTATACACTAGAATTATCCTTTTTTACAAAATATACACAGAATCGTAGCTTTAAACCCAACACATATACTCACACCTGTAGACCCCCGCACCAGACAGGTACACCCGCACGCATACAAACACATATCTGCTACAAAGGACACCTACAAATACTCATTCTTCCCACACACAGTAGCACAATGGAATATCCTCCCCTTAGCAACAGTCCAATGCATGACACTAGAGGACTTCAAGGCACACTTACCCTACACAGCCCTTGAAGCCCTCATCACACACTAGTACATACACCAGATTTTAACTTTTTATCTATACCTTGCACAAAAAAAATCACAAAAAAACCCCACCCCTAATCACTATAAATAACCCCTTCACGCCTCTACAATAGGACCCCCGATGGCATAATCATCAAACTGATGGAGCCCTCGTATAAAGAAGAAGAAGAAGAAGAAGAACAGGCATGCATAAATGGGCTTGTGGGGATGGTGGTGGTAGGGAAATGGGATGAATAGAGGTCAACCATCCCCTTTCATGTCATTGCCACAGGTGCTAAGGGCTACATTCGCGTTACCGGTTGAAACGGTACGTGTGGCGCAGAAATTTTCCACGTTAAACGAACACACTTGGACCGTTCTATAAGCAGAGCTAAAAATGCACAGTTTCGGAGAATAAAAAACAATGTATCAAGAATATTATGCCCTTCTCTCACGCGTCCACTAAATTACATAACGTATCTTAAAAACTACATGTGGCTTGACATTGTTTTAGAAAGAAATAACGCAAACTAGCAATATTCAGCAGTTTAGTTTGGCCAGGTACGTCTGGACCCTCAATCTACGCGTACCAAATTTTCCTGAGGTCAGCCACGGTCCAAATCTGTACCTGTCGTTTTCTTTACAGGTTCAATCGGTTCAACCGTTTCAACCGGATACGCGAACGTACCCCAGGTTCTGGAATAAATGCGATATATTATCGCACCCCACTACTAGATATCATGATTTATTAGCATAAGGGGGTGCGATAATATATCGGATATATTACAGAACCCAATCACCTGTGGTAATCACAGAACATTAAATGGGTGACATAATTACCAATTACGTCTGTTTGTCTGCGTTTGAGCACATCTTGGATATGTTCCACTCAAGAGTTGGCTAGTTTGCCTGGAGTTTCGTAATAAGAGAAAACTTGGATAGAGAAAGACAAATGCATGTCCAGACCCAGATTCGAACCTGCAGAACCTCGAAATTCTAGAGCTAACTGTTCAACAATTTACAAACTCCAATTCTTCCAGACCCTAATTTACTTATGTAACCATTTTTTTCCACTTACCTGACTTTTTAAAAACTGAATGTGTTAATTTCTGTGGTTCTTAGTCTCTGCATGTATTTAGCTTCTTTTCCAAGAGTCATGCAGAAAAAGCCTTTACCTTGATCAGCTAAATGATGAAAGAAGTCTCCCATTCTTAGCAACAAATATATATTTGCCTCACTCTGCTTAAGGTAGAGATTTAATAAATTACTAGATCTAGTACATGTTAACTCACTCTTGAGAAATAAGTTAGCCCCCCCTCCCAAGCCTCCCAGTCCATTATGTGCTAACTTGAACTAGTATATCAAACTTGGTGGGGGGGGGGGGGGGGGGATCCCTGCCTTACCCTGGTAGGAGATAAACATTGTGTCATTCTCACTAATCTTATGTATCATACCATAGAGTGAGAGAAAAATTAGAGGTAATGAAATTTACTAACTTCAATCATAGCAGATAGCATAAAGCAATGAGAAACACTGATCTATAGGCCTCCATGATACATGTAACTTTAGTGAAAACAGTTCAGATTACGATGCTATGACGATTTCACGCTTGCTGTGCAAGAAGAGATGAATGAGTCATGGTACCAGGATTAGCTGCCGGGTCTGGTTCTGTCTGGAGACTTGATAGTCATACTATGGTAATAACATGGAAACAATGATATCTCTTGACTAATAAATATTCATAAACTCTTATATACATATCTTAGCCAAATGATGCATATTTGTTGCACTATAAACAGCTAAAGTCATTTAAGAATGAGCCAGGAAAAAGTAAAGTACCCAGAGAAAAGCCACCCGGGGGCTGTGCTGCCCGCCCCACATGGATCAGTGGTAGAGGGCTAATGATGGTAGACAGTCTTGACGTCATATCCACCCTGCCACCACGGCCTGGGCTGCATCCTTAGAACTCAAAATTCAGTTATTATGTGAAGGAAGAGTGAATTTGACATAAAAGGGGCTGATTTTTGCTATAAAGGTTTAATCCTGCTTAACATGTAACAGTTGATCATATTTCAACCAAATTAATATAGCTAGGAAGCATCCTTGGGACATGGAATACAAAATGTTCTATAAAGGAGGTTGTTGTTCCCCTGGTACTGAGAGAAAAGAGCCCAAAAATTGGGGAAAAAATGCAATATTACTTTAATGAGAATATTTTACCATGATTTCTAGATGTTTTGAATTTGACATTTTTTACAGGAGTTATGCCCCTTCCCTTGTGTCAATTTATAAATCCTGTCTGGAGTGAAACTTTGTAAACATAATCAGGCAGTACTTTAAGTTACATTCTTGCAATTATTTGATTTATTAATTTTGACAATTATTCTGGAAATGATGTCCCTTTTCACATTGAAGGAAATTTTTAAAACTAATGGTCAAAAGAAAAAAACTCTTAGGAAAAAATAGGTGTTGGGCTCACATTACCTAGAGAGAAGGGGGAATGAAGGAGGATCATATACCAAAGGTCTTCAGGGGCACCACCATACTACCCTTAAGTGTACCCTTCCTTTTTGTAACCTTAATATTAATATTGAATATGGCACGGTCAACTATATCGCTAGTTCGAGGTCTCCATGGTCCAGTTTCTTGTCATCTGCAGCACATTGTTGACTGGCTTCTTTTGTCAAGTGTCACTAGAAGCACATTGTATACTTGTGTCTATTGTCAAGTGTCACTAGAAGCACATTGTATACTTGTGTCTATTGTCAAGTGTCACTAGAAGCACATCGTATACTTGTGTCTATTGTCAAGTGTCACTAGAAGCACATTGTTTACTTGTGTCTAGTGTCAAGTGTCACTAGAAGCACATTGTATACTTGTGTCTATTGTCAAGTGTCACTAGAAGGTCTTTGTATACTAGTGTCTATTGTCAAGTGTCACTAGAAACACATTGTATACTTGTGTCTATTGTCCAGTGTCACTAGAAGCTCTTTGTATACTAGTGTCTTTTGTCAAGTGTCACTAGAAGCACATTGTATACGTGTGTCTTTTGTCAAGTGTCACTAGAAGCACATTGTATACTAGTGTCTATTGTCAAGTGTCACTAGAAGCACATTGTATACGTGTGTCTATTGTCAAGTGTCACTAGAAGCTCTTTGTTTACTAGTGTCTATTGTCCAGTTTCTTGTCAATAGAAGCACATTATATTCTAGTGTCTATTGTCCAGTTTCTTGTCACTAGAAGCTCTTTGTATACTAGTGTATATTGTCCAGTTTCTTGTCACTAGAAGCTCTTTGTATACTAGTGTCTATTGTCAGGTTTCTTGTCACTAGAAGCTCTTTGTATACTAGTGTCTTTTGTCAAGTGTCACTAGAAGCACATTGTATACTAGTGTCTATTGTCAGGTTTCTTGTCACTAGATGCTCTTTGTATACTAGTGTATATTGTCCAGTTTCTTGTCACTAGAAGCTCTTTGGATACTAGTGTCTATTGTCCAGTGTCACTAGACGCACATTGTATTCTAGTGTCTATTGTCCAGTGTCACTCGAAGCACATTGTATACGTGAGTCTATTGTCAAGAGTCACTAGACGCACATTGTATTCTAGTGTCTATTGTCAAGTGTCACTAGAAGCACATTGTATACGTGTGTCTATTGTCAAGTGTCACTAGACGCACATTGTATACTAGTGTCTATTGTCACGTGTCACTAGAAGCACATTGTATACTTGTGTCTATTGTCAAGTGACACTAGAAGCACATTGTATACTTGTGTCTATTGTCCAGTGTCACTCGAAGCACATTGTATACTAGTGTCTATTGTCAAGTGTCACTAGAAGCACATTGTATACATGTACTTGTGTCTATTGTCAAGTGTCACTAGAAGCACATTGTATACTTGTGTCTATTGTCAAGTGTCACTAGAAGCACATTGTATACTTGTGTCTATTGTCAAGTGTCACTAGAAGC